TTGTCAGGCATCTACGGCAGCCGCTGGGTTTGAATTACAGCACCAACTCCCGGAGTCAAACGACTGCAGGAGATCAGGAAAGTCCCTCGTCCCCGCGGCTGGCCCTGAGCGAAGCTGCGGTGTGATGGGAGACAGGGCAGGAGCACAAAGAAACCTCGGTACGTTTAAATCAGCAACAAAAGAATGTCTCATCTGTCAAACCATCCCATGGCTTTTGGGGAGCCGCTTTCAGTCTGTTTAAACGCCGCGTTTCCCATCAGATACTCGTCCGAAGGAGCGGGGAAGCGGTTTGCCCGGTCGTGGCTCCTCGCTCCGTGCAGCGCCGAGGCCGGTTGCTGCGGTTCATTGAAACAAAGTCTGGAGAAAGTGGGACGTTTCATTATGCAAATTGTGCTTCCTGGAAAGAAATGTTTTATTAACACACGCTCCCTTCTTGTGTTGGCTTAGTCAATTTGGTCACAGCTTGACATCCAATAAGTTAGTCTAAAGGCAGTGGTTTTACAAAATGTTTTTCTAATCTATTTTAAACACTTAATTACAGTTGTGGCACATTCATTAGGGACTCGCTATCAAACCTGGATTGCAGCAATAAATCCTAATTCTCAAAGTGTCAGCTGCAATACAGAAACTAGATCTAAGTGGTTGTCAGAGGCAGCTGCTAACTGGGGGAAGCATGCCTGACCCAGGTGGGACCCCCCTGCTCCGGTGGGGCAACCTCCAGCGTCCAGCCAAAGCAAATTGAAACTTAACCGAACAAGCACGGGCACCGGGATGAGCATTCCAAGGGGATGTGTCTGTTGGGTGGTGCAGTAGGAGCTAGGGGAGAGACTATTTCTGGGAAACTAGGAGGCCAGGGGACCCTGGAGTTGGTGTTGTGGCCAGCTCTGAAGCTGTCCCCGGCACTGGCAGTGTCCCCACTGCCTACCCTTGCAGCTCCAAAAGGGGCAAGGAGAGGTCAAGGGGGGGTGCCATCCCAGTGCCACACACTCCATGGATCATCCCTGGCACCATCCCAGCTGCTGTAGGCGGGGATCACAGCCGGGCATCCAGGCTGAAGCTGGGCCACTGCCTCCCCTGCCCTGGGCTGCTCTGCTGTGCCAGGGACACGCGCTCGCTCGGGGCCCCCACGCACCCCACGGCGTTGGTGCA